GAACCTCTGCGCACCTTCCGGCGCTATCGTTGTCTCCAACGCCACCACAGTTCATGGGTTAGTTGTCTGCAACATTAGCAGATACGATGGTAGGCTTTGGTATGACGCCACCGCGTCACCAACTCCTTGGTTAATCGCTAGCTCCCGTGACTTCCAAGCCTTCCAGTAAGATATTGGGTCGCTGTGATCGTGCCTTATTATGTCCCTAATAGCTCCTGGTCTTGGTCCAACACCAGCTGCAGGACCATACCTATGCTTAACCATATCTCCAACAAACTTGGAGTTCGCATGGTGTCGGAACTCCCACTTATCAGCCACCGAACACGTGTGGATGTTATCTAAAGTCCTCACCTCGAAGCTTGCAGATCCTCCCATCTTCGCCGCATACACTCTCCATCCACACGCTGCTCCCCTACAGTGTAGTACCATTTTCCCTGGCTCTGACTTCTTGATGAGGAACCTAAACTTGTTTGTGATTGCATGTAGGGTCATATGGAGCTTGAAGGCTTCCCTGCTCTCAAATATCTTCCCAACAAAAAGCTCTCTTGTTGTCTCATCTGCCACACGTCCTGATAAGCACAAACAAAATCGTATTAATTTCACCATACTATATTACGGGTAATCCTTTGCATTTCAGTAAATATTTTAGTTTTCTAGTATTTCACAGTTTAACCGTAAACTAAATACTTTCCATAGCTTATTGTTACAATGTATCATTTTATCCTCCACTATTAAAAATATTTTTATACCTCCAACTTCAATACCACAGAAAGGCTGCCTTGTAGTATCCTTTCCTTGGATGATCTTTCCATAACCTTTGCTACCCCCCGCCTCGTCAAACTCTTGACTCAAGTTTCGCATCCACGCCAATGAAACGTCATCCTCAGCAACAGGGTCGTCAACTCCCAATGCTAGGGACAGCTGTGTCGCTGAGCCAGTACCTGATAATGCTTATGTTATCCCATAAATTTTGACTTACCGGTTAACTAATTAATTAACCTAAAATTTTTATTTAGACATTAAGATTATTACTCATATTTGACGCATTTCCTCCAGACAGCAGTTGATCTCCAAATTGGAAATTTGAAGAAGCTCCAATTTGAAATGGTCTCCCTAACGACTCATCACTCATCATTACTCCCTTACCCTTGTCCCGTATTATCTCCTCCACTTCATTACCCTCTGCCCCTAGTAATTAGTGTTCACAACTTCCGGTTACATAAAATTGTCTCCTTAACGTATAATTCGATCTTTTTCCTTTAAGAAAATAGTATTACCTAACGCGAAGGTGATTTCTTCAGTTTGAACTTCCGGGTTGGTTTCCTCTGCTGCTCTTATACCCGCCCCTGTTATTATTGCCCCCGCCTGGTTAAGAGGGATGCCAGAAGAACCCTCTGACGATTCTAAGTTAACTGTCATCGTCGGGTCAAGCTGTAGATCATTTAGGGCCGTCTGCTCCAGTATGCTCATTTCATCAGCCGTGCATATTCCCCTAAGTATTTCCCCGTACACAACCATGTACCCTCTCGCAGTCAGATCTGCAAACATAAAGCACAGGAATTTTCTCAGTTAATATATGTGTTCGCTAGGTTTTCAACAGACATCGTCCCAGTTAATTATAATATTACCCAATATCTACATTTTTAACTGCTAAAATAATATTTACCTGAAAGGCTTATTTTAACAGATACATCCTTTTCCGATACAACAAACATTAACAGAAAAATACTTCTTTAACGGGAAAAGAAAATTTTACCTACGATACTCACTAACCCGCGCGCTGGTGTTTTTTGTTCTGAAGCTATTACTCGATCTTCAACCTCCCTCTCCCTCCTGTAGTTGTAGACATCCTCTCCACCCAATGTCACATACAGCTCCTGCCACACATTGTCAACCCTAACAGCCATGAACACAGCCACGTCTTCGTCCTCATTTATTTCGATGGGTGGTGCTGAGTAGTCCTCAGGCTCTTTTTCAAGGTCTGGGTACTGGTAAGTCAGCAGCACAGGGGCGTTTACTCCATACAGTGGGTCTACGTTGAACTTCTCCCTCACCATACCAACAAGTGAGATGAAACTCTCATTCTCCTTAAGCTCGACGTCAGCTCTTATCATGGTTTTATCCACGTTGAACCTCCATGCGCCTTGAGCGCCTCGTTCCCAGTCTCCAACAACGACACGAACTTGGTGCCTCATCTTCCAAACCTGTTACGGTGTAACATTACAAGTATCAGTAACTCAAAACTTTTAAGGATATCGAACAACCTTTCGTACGTTGGATATATAGACAAAGCTTACAACTTACACTACGAGAAAAAACGATTTCTGTCTCTTGAGTTTATCTTCTACAAACACCAAATCACAGCTTTCGTTCTCCCTCTTTCTCCCACACTTTTTTTTGGTTCTGATAACTAAACTTTTACCCAACTCTACCTTCTTTTATCTTCAAATTAGTATGGTATTACGTACACTTAACTTTTCCAAGGTAGCTTAGGATGTTGCGCTTAAACAGAAATCACGGATAACCGAGGAAACGTGTTTTAATTGCACACAAGTCGTCCTAGGTTTCAGAGTAGGGTAGGCAGCTATTAGAATCGGCGTGGATATCTTGTGTCAGTCGACTGACACAAGCGCCGAAGATCAAATCTTTCGTGCGAGGTTAGTTCCGTCTTTTTGCCATGGTTAGGGTATGTCTCGGGCCCTATATGTCAATCAATGGGTACTTCGCCAATTTGGGCCTCTATTTGGGGCAATACACTAAATCACTCATATTTTTATCATCTAAGCCTTATCATATTGAATTATGCTTGATAACGGATATACTCCCTCTGTTTTTAATATACGATGTTTTAGAAAATTATTTGTTCCAAACTATATGAAATTTTTAATTTTTGATGTAAAATTATTAACATTTAATGTTATGTGACCAATGATATTGAAAAAAGGAATATCATTGGTTACATAACATTAAATGGGATCTTGGATGTGGAAAAAAATTCTAGAACTCAGGGAATTAGCTAAAGGAACTATTGGATTGAAGTAAAGAATGGGGGGAGTACTTCATTCTGGTATGATTCTTGGTCTTCTCTTGGATGTCAAATGGATTTATTAGGTAATGGAGGATGAATTGATCTTAAAATCCTTGCTCATACAATGGTTAAGAAATGTAGAAACCATAGAGAAGGAACCACAAAGTCACAATTTTGAATAGGGTTGAAGTGGAAATAGAGAAGTTCAAAGAGAGTATGGTGCAGGAGGAGGATGTGCCTTTGTGGAGGGGTGGAGGGAAATTAAAAAAAAAAAACTTTCTCTACAAGTGAGACGTGGGAAGTTGTTTGTGAGAAGCACCCTATTAATGACTGGCATAAAGTAGTTTGGTTCAAACATGCCATTCCAAAGTATTTGTTCTTGATGTGGGTGATAATCAAAGATAGGCTATCAACCGGTGATCGTTGTAGAGATGGAATGCAACTGTCGACACGACTTGTGTGTTTTGTCAAGAACCTGTAAAATCGATACAAAATCTCTTCTTTGTTTGTCCGTCCATTCTCCAAACAAGTTTGGGAAATGTTGACAAAAGGGGTTTTACGAGATCAATACTACGCATAATGGCCTAATCTAATTGTCTGATTAATGATACCAAACTGAAGAAGTTGCAGTTGTTCATGCTAAGGTATATTCTTCAAGCGACTACTCATAGTATATGGATGGAAAGAAACAGGAGAAGGCATAGGGATAAGCTTTTACCGGCAATACTTTTGGTTAAATAGCTGGATAAAACAATGAGAAACAAGTTTTTCATTATTCAGAGGATGGGAGATAAAAGATATGAAGCTGGGTTGGTCTTTTCGTTTGCAACAAGACAGATCATGAATGAGGGAGAAATTTAGAGGTCAAGAAGTTTTGAAGGTTTGAAGATATGGAGATATAGGAGAAGAAATACAGTTTAAATTCTATCGAGTAAATTTTGTATAGATTGCAACATTGTTGTACAAAGGATTTTTGAATTAAATTTAAAATTTCAATTCAAAAAAAAAATGTTAACATTATTAACATCAAATGTGACCAATGATATTATATATTATATTTTATTAATTAGTTAAATTGTGGTTAAATAAATAATTAATAATGTTTTTATTTAGAAAATTTAAGATTTTTTTTAATTTGTCATATAATCCTAAAACATCATATATTAAAAAATAAAAATAAAATTGAACAAAGAAAATAAAAAAAATGAACAAAAAATCGAAAAAAGAGAAATTTTTGGGTTCACCTCCTATGGTGAATCTCTAGGTTCACCAACCAATATGATTTCATTATTTCATATTCAATATTTTTTTTTTTTTTAAAAACAAAATATTATCGAGTTATATTATATTTTAAAAATTAAAAGAAATAAATAAAAGATAATAGTAGTTGCAAACAAAAAACTTTTGTAATTTTTTTTATTTTAATACCATCAGAAATACACTAAATCCTAAACCCTAAATCTTAAATCCTAAATCCTTAGATAAATCCTTAACCCTTGGATTAATCTTAAACCTTAGGATTTATGATTGATTCAAAAGTCTAGAGTTTATCCAAGGATTTAAGATTTAAGGTTTAGTGCTTGGTGTTTTGCTAAAGGTATTAAAAGTATTTTTTAAAAAGTCAAGCTTTTATCCAAGGATTTATGGTTTCCAGAAGAGTTTTAAGGTTTAAGATTTAGGGTTTTGATAATAGTATTAAAAAAATTAATTTTTTTTTATTTGTTCAATAATTATTATTTTTATTTATTTTATTTTCAAATTTTTAAAAAATAATATAACTATATAATTTTTTGTTTTCTTTTCTAAAAGATACTAAATATAAAATAATGTAATTTTATTGGTTGGTGAACGCAAGAATTACTTTAAAAAAAAATAAGTGAACAACTAAATGGGCCTTCAATATCGGGTTTAGTCTAAATATATAGTAAAATATAGAACGGCCCGGCTGTTTTTTTCTCGCTTCTTCTACGCCCTGCCCTGCCTTCCTCCTCCTCCGTCCACCGTCGTATCTAGTTTGATTCAGGTAACTAACACAAGTCTTCTACTTTTATCTTCACTGCCAGTGATCATTATCTTTGTTAGTCATAATATTTTTTCTAGGAGTCTTTTTCTTTTGTCTTATAATATATCTCCATAGAAAACGAAAGCTTGAAGCTTATTGTTGCCGAGGGTGCTTAGGTTTGATTTGTTTTTTTAGGTTTTGGGATGGTATTTGTAATACCCAGAGGAGAAAGTCTCAAACTTTACATTGTTTTTAGCTAATCTTTTAAGGTGCGTTTTCGACTGAATTGATGGTATATGAACACTATCTTTAACAAGACTACAATATCGCTAAGGTTTTCTGAATATGTTAATTAGTATGGAAGTTTGCAGCGTATATACAATCTTTTAAGTGAATTTGTTCTGTTCTCTTGTTTTTTCTTTTGTTAAAGGGTTTTGTATTGAATCAATTGTTTTGGATAGGTTTTAGCACAAAGGAGAGGGAAACCATAATGAACAAGAGGAATAACTGGAAGCTTGTTCCCGTTAATAAAAAGACGCAAAAGAAGATGAAGCCGCGTACTTTAGGTGAGATGTCGAACATTGAATCTTTAAACTTTTCTGTTGATGGGAAGAGGCTCTATGGAGTCTCTTTGAGGATGTTACAGAGAACTATGGAAGTCTTTGGTTCCCTTTCTCTCCATGAACGATAGTTTATACTTTTTTTTGGTACTTAATCTTTCTGTTACTTGAATTCTTGTACTTTTTTGTGCATGTCAGGGACGAATCTTTCTCTGTTTAAGAGAGATATTGATGAACTCATAGACGAGTTTGTAGAGGTACTTTTACTATCCATCTTCGTTAGTTGTTTCAAATTGTTTTTAAGGCTTTCAATGTGTTGACTCTCTGGTTTTACTTGCAGGGTGATTTGACAACGTTTGATGACATGAAGAGGGTGTGGCTATCTCGAAAGTTCTCTTACATATATGAAGCCTTTCCTAACACCAACTTAGCCTTTCTCATACAGTCACTATATGCTCATACCATTGGTAAGTTTAGGTCTTAACTCATGGAGTTCTACAACACTCCGAAACTAAATATTCGTTACTGTCTATTTCCACATTATGATTTTTCTCTTAGTTAAGCTCACAAGCTAGCCTTTATCCTCTACAGGTCACATGGTTAGTAACGATTCTTTTTCACGGAGACTTGGAGGCCTTTACTGTCTCTATTGCCTTCACGAGATCCAACCTTTTAAACCCAAGTTCCGGATATATATCTCACTTCGTAAGTCTTCACTCATTTGTTGAATCTATCTTTAACCTGTTATAATCATGACTTAACTCGTACGTTTCTCATATTGCAGAAGAGCTTGGGAGATTTAGGGATCTTATAGTTGAGGCAAAAGACAAAGGGGTAGAGATAGCTACTGCTGTGGGGAAACAAATGCTTGATAAAAACGTGTTTATTTTTGGAGCTGTGGACTTTGATGAAGCGTCTACAACCGAGAAACTTCATCAATCAATAGAACTACAGAACACACTTGTGCGGTGTGCTTACAGAAAGTAATGTCACTTTGTCCCTTGGAAAAGACTAACAAATGGTGATTTCATATATATAACCTTTTTAGTGACATGATTCTCATCTTGACTTGAACAGATTATCCTCTGAGACCGAGATTGAGAAGTTCATTCATCTGGATATGGTGAGTGCGAGATAACTTTCTTTGAGATATAAGAGTTTGTATTAAGGGTATGTTGAGCATTTTGACTATTTTTCTTATCAGGGTAATGAAGTTGATTTGAGCTCCATACATAAACAGTCTATAGAGTATGCAGAAGCCAAGAAGCGCGCAATGAACAGTATGGCACTTCATTGAGTCCACTGTATTGTTAGCATTTTTGTTTTTTCTCTTAAAGTCTTATATCGCTTGTTTTTTGGTAATGTTAAGGTGGAGGAGAGATAGTGGAGATCGGGGATATAAAGCACATAGCGGAAGAGAAAGAGTTGATGGGAGACAAGGTTGAGAAACTGAAAGAGGAATGGGATTCGCAAAAACTTTCATTTTATGAAAAAACCAAGTTTGATGGTCTTGATACGACACAGAGACTTCTAAAAGATGTTGAACATGATGATGATGATGATGGAGATGATGGGTTTGGTGAGCTTGACCGCTTACTTTCCGAGAGCTGATTTGCTCATTGCACTCACCAGTCAAGTTTTTATGGATGTCAGCTAATTAAAAAAGCTCTCTATAGAGTATAGACATGGCATTTACAGGTAAGTTTTGATTTGGTAAGACTTCAGATCAAATGTTTATCTTTTGGTTCTGACACTGAAGTTCTTTTTTTAATTTCAGCAGGTCATGTCAGACTCAGGAGCTACATGGGGATCATATGTTTTTCTTACTAAGTGAAAAGACATGGGAACGTACTAAGTGAAATATCTTTTGTCATGTTCTCGATTACAACATGTATTTTGTTATATAGTTTCCCTATGATCTAAAGATCTGGTTTTCTGTGTTCTCGAGTTGAGTAACATAATATCACAATAGCTGTTTATTTTGGTAAATATCTTTTTTGTTTAATTGTACATGGCCCTATCTTTTGCGTGTCGATGCGATGCAGATTGCAGTTTATTTTGTTTTTGTTATAAGTAGAGAAGAGAAAAGGGGGAATTAGTGTGTTTTATTCCATGAGTAATGGATCATTTATATGAAATTACAATAATTTGGATATAAAGTATAATTTAGAGTGGAGAACAAGTAAATCTAGAACTTTCCATATTGGACATCACATAATATTTATAACAATTTTCTTTGATGTCCATTATATCAAATTGCTTCAAAATGTTGTAGATGTCGTCTTTTTAAAACTTCACCAAGAAAACCCAATGGAAAAACTATTATTAAGGAAAGAGCAATGCACAATGACTGTCCTTCATGTGTACATATGTCGAGATCTTTGAGATAATGCTTCTTGACAGTAGCAGTAGATAACTCCTTAGTGAATAAACCGACCAAACTGTCACTTGAATGAACTTGTAGGATACAAACATCGCCATTCTTCTGAGTCTTCATATGTTTGATCATATTCTTCGATTTTCTTGATCTTAGAAATTTGGACGTTGATAGACTTTATCATTGAATTCTAATATCCTTCTTGGATGTCTATCATTACTGTGTTCTTTGTTGCCTCATTAAAACCTTGTCAAACAAAAACTCAATAGGATAAAAATCATGATAAGAAAAAAGAGTACAACCACACACATTATCACATTTTTTTCCCATGGAAGCAATATCTTCAAGATATGCATTCCAGTCGAGTGTATCTCTTTTGGGAATTGAGATTAAACCGAATAATTTTTTTTTATTTCTGTTATAATATTTATGTCTTTAGAATTTTGGTCTATATTTCTCATTTGACATAAATAACAATTTTTAGGGCTTGATTGTCAGAGCATTAGCATAAGCATTATGCTATCTGTATCCAATCAACATTTACCGGAGAAACATTTAGAAAATCATTTACTAAATGCAAATGCTCTCCAAATACTCTATGTTCAATGCTCTCATATGGAGTTTTTGGGAGAACATTTGCAATTAAAATATGTATAAAATAAAATTAATTATATATAATGATTTATTTTTATTTAATAACATAAATTTTTTTAATATATATATATATATATTTTAAATAATAATTTCAGTTAAATATTTCCAACTTTAAAAAAAGTGTCACATTTAAAATATAATATAATTTATATAATTACTCATTTCATTTATTATTTTTAATAGTAAACATAAAATAATATATATTTATTTATATATGAAACATATATATATATACATATTTTATTTAGACATAAATAAATAAATTATATATCATATATTAATTTTTTTGATAATTTTATAAATGAGTCATTTATTACTCTACCAATAAATAAATATTAATAATTAATATAAAAACTATATAATTTATTTATTTTATAATATGCGATTTTTTTTTGTTATATCCAAATATATTTAATATTTTAGCATAAATTTAATTTTTTTGTAAATAATAATATTTCAAATATAAAATAATATAATTTAGAAAATGAATAATTGTTTTATTTGTAATAAATATTATATATATATGTTATAAAATAAATATATTATATACTAATTTTTATGATATTTTTAAAATTGTGTACTACTACTGTTGTACCAATCACATTATTAAAATTTTTAAAGAAAACATACAGGTTTTGCAACATACTGCTTCTATAGCATACTGTTAATGTTTTATCAGTTGCTGTAACAATCGAGGTCTTAGTCTTTTCAAACTTCGAGTAAAATATCTTTACTTTTATGACTTTCTTTATTGTCATATATAATCACATCTTTTAGTCACATAAAAGATTAGTAACTTTGCTCAAATAACACTTTAAGTATGGTACTTCAAGACCAAACATATATGAGCATCTTAATATATGGATCTTTAAGATAACGTCTTACTTTTAGATATTCCATTTGGAATATATAAAGACTAAAAGGGTATTTTAAAGGGTTTTATTCCAATACAAATGTTTATAACTCTTCGTGAGTTTTTATTATATTTAAATCAATAATCTCTTGATAAATACAAATCTTGTATTGTTTAACTTTGAATATTTCATATATCCCATAAGCATATTTCAATCAAATAGCTAGAGTTTCCGGGAACATGATTTTGATATCATCAATCCTTTATAAATTTTATCTTTCGGAGATTATCATTTCTAGTGGATCATATTATTCTAGTTTTTCCTTTATTGCCAGACTAATAAAAAACTTGAAAAATATTGCATCTATCACATGAGGCTATGTCTTTTCATAATCATTTTCACACTGATTTTTCTTTGGTGCAACGACTCATTCGATCCCACATATTTTACACATTTTAAATATGGACTATTAGTCCAAATACTTTTATAAGAGTTTCTAGTTTTGTCTATTACTTCTTTTTGATTTGGCCAATCATTTCTTTCTGTACACTTTTCAATAGACTTTCTTTCATGATCCTTTTTCTCATTTATCATGTCAACTACTACTTTGCATGCATATATATCACCGACTTCGATTTGCTTATTGGTTCCATTTTATTTCATACATGACTTAATTTTATTGAGATCTCTTCATTGTGTCAGGTACCTGAATTTCTTTCAGTCATGTTTAATGTCTCTTCTAGAGATCATTCACAAACTCTATTTCCTCGTTTTGACCATTTTCAATATGTGCTCATTTTCATTTACGAGGGTTCTTATCTTTCGAACCAAGATGTCTACAACGCTTCAGGCGTGTTTAACGATTTGATATTGTTCTTCTAGAACATCAACTATTATTGGAGCATTTACAACGGGTATATGTGACTTGATCACTCTATTTATATGGGTCAGCAAATGTATCTCGCAATTGCTTTACTAAGCTCTATAACTGAATTATCTTTTGGACTTCTATTTGATATTCTCTTTAGTCTGAGGATCAATGATAATTCATATCAACTTATTTTCTTTTCCAGCTATTTATTTTCTTCCCTTTATGTTGGAAATACTAATTCACTTTTAGTATTCATATCGAGCCTTACTTATATCCTTCAGGAATGGCTCTAGATTCTTAAGTATCAATGGAGATTCATTTTCAACATATATTTCCAACCTCATTCGAAAATCCATCTTAATTATAGCTCTGTGGTGGAGCAATTGGAATGTATATCGCATATCCAACACTCTTAGATGGAAAATGGTTGTTTTCTGACCCAATACCAATGACGGGGAGAACTAGTGAACACTTATTAGCTTGATGCGAACTAGTGTTGCTCAAAATGTTTAGCACTTATCTCAATGATTTTGCTATAGTCGTCAAAGATTTTAAGATGTGAATTCACCAATATTATAAAGATGCATGGTGGGTGATCAGTCCACGAACATCTCTTTTATTCATGTCAATAACTTTCTTTGGCTGGTGAAAACCACATTGCTATTTTATCTTGTGAACAAGCAACATATATAAAATCATTTGAATAAATCTTCTTGTTCTTGAATAACTATTCAGAATATCTTTTCGCATCACTACTGAACCAAAATGGTCTAACTGGTTCATGCCAAATATTTTGTAAATTTCTGGTTTACTATGTATGTATCTCTAAACACTAATTTTTGTGTAGTACAATCTATAAAAGGATGTAGATACTTTCTCTAAAGTACTTTTACTGCTGGAGAAATATTTCTTATTTGAAATGTATATAGCATTTCTTTTGTTTATTCTCTCAACATAAATTGTCTCAAAATCCCACAGGTTTGCTTTAAAAAGATTCATCATTCTCAATTTTAATGTAAACATAATCGTCTGGATGTTTCACTTATCATAAAATGTGAGATTTTTTAACTCTCCCCCTCGAGATGATATAACTATAGGTTTATCAACCTCGAATTGAATCTTCACATATCATATTTGGGTCATGTATTCTTTCTTAGATCATTAATTTTGAGATTTTATGAGAGTATAATACATCAAGGATTGTTTATGTACTCTTTTGGAGTATTCATATATATTCTCTCTTTGAAGATTTTGTAAGATTTATAAGACCTTGTATTATACTCACAATAATTTTATTTCATCCTTAGATGATTGAAGCATATTTTCTCTTTATCACCATCTCTATTTTCTCGACTATAAGTGAGAATATGAGTTTAAAAGGACTTTTTTCTTTTTAAAGAAGAATGGATCATATATATAGGATTACAATAACTTGAGTACAAAATATAATTTGGAGTGGAGAATAAATAAATCTAGAATTTTTTATATTGGACCTCACACAATATTCGTAACAGTTTTAAACCAATAAGAAAATAGTGGTTAAAAAGTAATTTATTTACAATCTACAATTGCGAATACTTATAGAATTCTACGACGATAAAATGAATAATATTAGTTATTTGAGGTGCGTGTTTATCAGAATTCACGAAGAAAAAAAAGGAGTTTACTATCTAAAATTGCACCTTAATATAGAAATCTACGATAGTAAAATGAATAACATTTAGTTATTTGAGGTGCGTATACAAAGAAAGAAAAGAGTTTATGTGGCTGATTTGGACAAAAGAGACTTCGATGATTGTCTATATTGAACTAATGTGGGACCTGGTGAAGGGGTTGGTGAGAGGAGCGGTCTTTGTTGAATCTTTTTGCAACTGTGGCTGTTGCGTTGGTGGTTCTTTTACCGAAGGCCCACACAGGGGATCACCAGCTTTATTTTATATTTCGAGTCAAAACATATTAGGTCGGCGTGTCTAGTGAACTATAACGAGTGGATAGTTAAAAATAATCGGGCTGAATAGTAACTAAAAGTACAATACATCTTTGACGAACAACACTCTTGTTCACTATTTTAATCAATGTCACAAGTTTATAGTTTGGTTTTGACTTTTGTCAACTTTGACTCCCATTTTCCAGCAAAGGAACCGCGTTTTGGTTAATTCCGTAAATATTTATAGTTTTGGAACTGATCGTTGATATTATGACGTAATTGTTGATTAACTCGTCACCTCACCAGTCACCAGCCAATCTCTTAGCGAGCCTATCATCATGCT